ATTCCTTGTACCAACCTCTCATGTTACCAAAATTTAAAGCTTGCGGTGTAAGCGACAATAGTGTCAAGCTACTTGAATCTTATTTTATAGACCGTCACTGTAGATTTAAACTGGGTTCAGTAGTAAGTGAGTGGGAAAAGGTGCCCAGGGGATGCCCTCAGGGATCAGCATTTGGGCCACTCCTGTGGAACATTTATCAGAATGATCGATCTTACTTATGATATCGGCGTAAACCTTAACATGTATGCAGATAATCATCAGTTTTATTCTATGAGCAGTGACATAGAGGTTGTTAATGATAATCTTACACAAAGTGCTATAGATGCTTCGGAGTGTTATACTTCTAATTTCCTTCAAGGCAACCTTGATAAGTATAGAATCCTCTTGCTTGGTAGCAAACTAGACAATAATATCAATATAGTCATGGACGATAAAGCTGTAACATCTACTGACTGCTTAAAATTACTTGGGGTATCTGTAGATAGGCACCTTCGTTTTGACGAGCATATAAGTAAAATCTATAAGAAAAGCAGTCAGCGTGTAGGAGTCCTGATTCGACTCAGAAACTTAATAACCACTAGTACTAAGTTACAGCTATTTAAAGCTGCTGCTCTTCCCTATTTAACTTATTCACACCTTGTTTGGCACTTCTGTCGTGCTAGCGACAGTAGGAAATTAGAGCGTGTACAAGAAAGGGCACTCAGAGCTATTTATTGCGACAGATCATCAAGTTATGATAAATTACTGAGTGTGGCTGATCTGTGCACCCTGCGTAACAGACGGTTACAGGATATGGCTATTCTTATGTACAAGACAAGACAAAAATCAACATTTGTCAGAAGTATATTGCAGACCTCTTCCATATGACAGACACCAAATATTTACTGAGGAACAAGGAGTTCACCATGCCAAGATTTAACACAACTACATATGGCAAGCATTCCATCAGATACATTGGCCCAAAGTTATGGAGTCTATTATCCAAAAATATAACAGACCATCCTGCATTATCTGTATTTAGGCAGCGTATTAGAAAGCTTGATTTAAATTCCTTACAGGCTGATGCTCATTGTTCTAATTGTATTTTACGTCGTACATGATAGACACTTTAGTATTTTATT